AGATGCCCAGGAAGATGTGCCCTCAACCTAATGGCTTCAGGCGTAACTTGCGTTCAAAGACTCTATGGTTCACGAGATTTGATAATTCACATGAAGTATCGCATTTTGCTACGTTCTTCATCGATGCGAGAGCTGAGTTAAACATTGCCGAGAGTCGTTTAGTTTTTTTGTGAGACGCCACGCATGAGTGCGCTCTCTTCGTTCGAGTTCCTTGGAGCGGTTTGTTGTTTCGTCGAGGAATGGCACCTGCCGTCCCGGGAGGGGCCCTGGCGCACTCCAAACAAGCAGGGGCAACAGGAGGGAGCCGACAGCCCACCTCCTACTTCTCCAACGGTAATAACATGACAAGTTCGTGGGTCGTTCGGGGGCATCGACAATGATCCTTCCGCAGGTTCACCTACGGAAACCTTGTTACGACTTCTCTTTCCTCCAAATGATAAGGTTCAGTGGACTTCTCACGGCATCGCTGGCAGCGAACTGCCCACATCGCCGTGATCCAAACACTTCACCAGACCATTCACTCTATAGGAGCGACGGGCGGTGCGTACAAAGGACAGGGACGTAGTCAACGCGAGCTGATGACTCGTGCTTACTAGGAATTCCTCGTTGAAGACCAACAATTGCAATGATCTATCCCCATCATGATGAAATTTCAAAGATTACCCAGGCCTGTTGGCCAAGGCTATAGCCTTGTTGAATACATCAGTGTAGCACGCGTGAGGCCCAGAACATCTACAAGGAAAGCGCAGGCAACCTGTAGGAATCCTGCGGATGACGAAGAGGAATGCACCAGTGGAGTTCACTGCACAGGCAGGGATACATCCAACTCGCACAAACCAACCACAACTCACATGCCACGACATACACTGTGCACCAGCCCCCCAAAATGAATTACACCCCAAAGGACTAAGAAGCCCGACGAATGTGTGAAAACATTTAGAGAAGTTGAGCAAGCACCGGTTAGCGTGACGACAAATGACAAAGGCAACAGGCAACTTTTGAGGGACATAATTTTCGCAACAAGCTTGCACTTGGAAACCACAGGCAACTTGTTCGTCAGTCAAAGCCAACTGAATGGCGATTACCCGAGGGACATGCTTTTCGCAAGGCACCTTTCACTAGGGACGCAAAGGCAACTTGTAGGCAAGTCAACGCCAACCGAGAGGCAATTACCCAAGGGACATAGAGGAATGCACCAGCGGAGTTCACTGCACAAGCAGGGGATCCATCCAGCTCCCATAAACCAAACACAACTCACGCGCCACGACGTACACTATGCACCAGCCCCCTAAAATGAATCACACCCCGAAGGACTAAGAAGCCCGACAAACGTGCTGTTCTTACCACTAGCCTCCACTTTACCAGGGGATTGGCCTTTTTCCAATGCAACTTGTCTCGAGATTGGGGAGCCTTTTGGCGTGAAATTCCCGATATGTGGTGTGGTCGATGATGGAGCCAATATCCCGAAGGCTAAATCTGCCATAGTTCTTTGAAGATCTTTGATCATTCTCTTCAACTCAGAAGTAGTGGGCTCACGGGCTTGAGAGGATTGGGGTCCAGGTGTATCCATCATGCATAAGTCCATGTTTTCTGGGATAAACACCTCAGGCTTGGGTAGATGGACTAGGGTGATGTATACGTTGGGGTCGTAAGGGACGGCCAGTGTGTGAAATAGATTGAGATGTGGATGAAGTACTTGGTCATTGGGGCTTGAAGGTGGAGCTATTGTCCGATTACTAATGAGATTTTGGACCTCATGACGAAGGCAGTAGCAACGGTCGGTGCCATGACCGCTCTGCTGATGGTACACACAGTACTTGGAGGGGTTATGTCTAGCAGGGAGTGGGTCAGGCAGAGGTTGAGGATTGAGGGGTTTAAGATACCCTCTTTCCATAAAGACTTTTAGTGCGCTAGTTAGGCTCATATAGAGGGGGGTGAAAGTTCTTCCCTGAGCCCGGGTTGGGCCAGTGGTTTGTAGGCTTGGATTGGCAAAAAGGTTGGCTGTGGCCACTGTATTGATTTCGCTGGGTTTGGGAATAACGCTACTACCATCATTGGTACTCCCTGAAATCGCCCTCCTTGTCGGTTCACTTGTTCTGGGAATGATCCCACTGTTGAATGCATTCTCGACCAGAACCCCCAGTTCATGCAAACTTTTGAAAGTGAATAGTGGAGCGACTATCAACTTTTGCAACATATCATGCTAAAGGTTTTGCACCACTATCCGCACTTGATCCCTCTCAGAAGGGCAATCTGTCATCTGTGCTGCCTTTGCTCTCCACCTTGCAACAAATTCCACAAAAGGCTCTGTTGGGTTCTGGCGGGCTGTTTCAAGCTCTTGCATAGTCATTTCAACTTGGGTATTGTAAGAATACTGATCGACAAAGGCCTCGGCCAACTCTTCCCAGTTCTGCTTCACTGTATTCTCCAACTTGGCATACCAAGCGGCTGCTACACCCGACAGGGTTCTTCCATACACATTTTCCAACTCTGAAATGATATGCAAGATGGTCCCAACCAAGATAGAAAATTACCCAAACAAAGCAACAAAAATTAAATTGTTAAAGCACAAAATTAATAAATCATCTTTATTCACAAATGTAACCAAGACCCATATTTGAATATGGATATATATATATATATACATATAGATAAGCACAAAATAATAGCACCATAAACTACAATATTATTGAAGTACTAAAATCACATCCAAAACTGAAATGCAAATTCATCTTCAAAATTGCAGAGCAAATTCTGGTTTTGGCAGTGCATCATGCTCACTACTTATAAGAGGTTTCCAAAGAAAGATCTTTGCCTTACAAACGGTAAATAAAAACGGAACCAAACAATATAACTTACACTCTTAAAATAAATAAATAAATTAAGGTAAGTCATAAACAATACTAAACAGAGTCTTAACATCATAACTGCAATAAATGATTTCTTGGAAAAAAAAAAGGTGTTGAGATTAATGAATTGAATTTGAAAGGTGTTCCAAATTATTTCCTTTGAAAGAAATGCTATCATTGTACTCATAAATTAAAATGGCCCATGTATGTTGAAGTTTTTCAAAAGCCTTGTATGGGTTCATCATTCTTGTTTTATGTGTAAAATTTCAAGCATTCTGTATCGTCAAGGTTTTTAAAATTGTGCCTTCACAATTTCATTCATATGATTTAATACAAGTTTTAACTAATATATTTTGAATTTTGGTTGAATTAAAAATTGAGTGGGAGAGATTGTAATTTTTCCCTAATTTATATGTTCAAAATAGGGAACAAAAACCAATCCAAAAAAAAAAAAAAAAAAAAACAGGAGAAAAATATAAATATATATATATGATTAAAGTTTCACTCTAGCAAAGAATATAATGAAATACCGTATCTAGGTCACCTATGTGAGTGCGAAGTGGGGCCGCTTCTTTAAGAATTGCCAAAGCCGAATTCTTTAAAAACACTCACAGAGCCAGGCTAGTGTTCCAGGGCCATACCGGGCACACCAATGAGAACAAGAACAATGGTTGGACTAACTCCTGTGTAAGGTCTGTTGTCTCGGTTTACATAAACGGCAGAACAGTTCAAGACATCACGTTCACTGGTCAGCCAGTAAATCCGATAGGCTGTCACTACGAAAGGTTCAAGGCCAACAGCTACCATTTCTGATGCAGGGTTAGTCTATGTGCTCTCTCTCTTTCCGGGTCTTTGTTGATAAACGTTGAGCGTTTGCTGTATTCAGTCAATTTTTATTCATGTGGGGGATTGTTGGAGAAAAATGGTTGAATAAGAAATTGCCTCATAAATGTGTATATAACTCACACATTTAAGGCTCATCAGTTTTACAAAATTGATTGGGCAGTTTTGCTAGCATTAGTTGCCAGTCTTGATGGCTAGAGGCTCCTCCTCTCTCCTCCATGGTGTATAAAATGAGGCCCTATTCCTTGAAAAGAAACATAGAATTTTTCCTTGACATTCATACACTGTCAGTCTACTTCTCCTATAATTTTCTTCCTGAGAGAGTGCTGCCGTTGTCCGTTCGCTAAGCTAATCAGAAGGTGCTTCTGTTGTAGCTGGTAAAAACTGTCGTATCTTGCGAAGTAGACGCCGGCGTACCTCCAGCACCCAACGGTGAGGCGGCGAATCTATTTTAAGGAGAATGTGGTATCACACAGGCTTCGGTTTGCTTCCTTTAACTATTTTATATTTTATCTGTATTTTATTCAGCATGTTATTTTTTTGGGATTGATGGTTTGTTTTGTTCATCTCATAATTTTGCGATATGCAATGTGAAATTATGTAATGTAAGTAGTTTTTCCCAACAAATATTCCCTACCCCCAACCCCCATAGGAGGAAACACCCAGGACATGTCTTCATTTTGACTGTTATACGCGCAAGAGGATTGGGGTCCAGGTGTATCCATCATGCATAAGTCCATGTTTTCTGGGATAAACACCTCAGGCTTGGGTAGATGGACTAGGGTGATGTATACGTTGGGGTCGTAAGGGACGGCCAGTGTGTGAAATAGATTGAGATGTGGATGAAGTACTTGGTCATTGGGGCTTGAAGGTGGAGCTATTGTCCGATTACTAATGAGATTTTGGACCTCATGACGAAGGCAGTAGCAACGGTCGGTGCCATGACCGCTCTGCTGATGGTACACACAGTACTTGGAGGGGTTATGTCTAGCAGGGAGTGGGTCAGGCAGAGGTTGAGGATTGAGGGGTTTAAGATACCCTCTTTCCATAAAGACTTTTAGTGCGCTAGTTAGGCTCATATAGAGGGGGGTGAAAGTTCTTCCCTGAGCCCGGGTTGGGCCAGTGGTTTGTAGGCTTGGATTGGCAAAAAGGTTGGCTGTGGCCACTGTATTGATTTCGCTGGGTTTGGGAATAACGCTACTACCATCATTGGTACTCCCTGAAATCGCCCTCCTTGTCGGTTCACTTGTTCTGGGAATGATCCCACTGTTGAATGCATTCTCGACCAGAACCCCCAGTTCATGCAAACTTTTGAAAGTGAATAGTGGAGCGACTATCAACTTTTGCAACATATCATGCTAAACGTTTCGCACCACTATTCGCACTTGATCCCTCTCAGAAGGGCAATCTGTCATCTGTGCTGCCTTTGCTCTCCACCTTGCAACAAATTCCACAAAAGGCTCT